ATGAATGCAAAAGCATCCCTATGACTCCAAGGGTTACACACACACACACTGCCGAACTTTTTCGGAAGTCCATATAGGACTTCCACCTTAGGGAGAAACCGCGCCCCAAGTCTTCTATCTCAACCAAATTCACCGCATTTCCGGTCTTGGTCAACTCTCCTTAGCCCTCCATATCCATGGATCGGGCCAAGCTGCGGACCAACGTGGGCCATGCACTGGGATTTCTCCAGACGGGTATACGGTATATCGTGTGGGGAATGTATATCCTATTGCCAGGACCCAGTGGATGATGATGGTTAGGCTGGGCCCAGGTTGCAGGCCTTGTTCAAAAAGAGTGATCATGTGTGATACGGACTGATACTGGCAATGAGACAGACCCTACATGTGTGGGCGTGACGGTAAAGATCGCAGGAAAACAAACAAATCAGCAATGGCTAGACTATGCTAGACTGGTCGATATTCCTTCGCCGCCAAAAGGATCAAAAAGTCGAAGTGAGAGTCAGGTCTATCGTAAATAAGCATCCATATGGTCCATGTCACATGTGTGTTGATTCATCATGATCTACTCAGATCCACTCCCACAGGGAATCCCCCCCCGCCGTGTAAACTCCTTGCCGCGCTTCGCGCGTGTGGGGTGCAGCTCCACGGCCAACGAGCGCGTCACCCTGAATGGGTGTTCTTGCGCGGCAAGGTCGCACAAAAGCTGAACGGGTCGGAGGTGATCCCAATTGGCCCAATACATTGCGAATGCTCACCAATCAACTGAGACAAACCCGGTGCCCAACCCAGGGACCCAGGGACCCTGGCTCAGACAATGCAGATCTGAACCCATCTGATGCAGATCTGCATAACTCCGGGAGCCCTCGGCGGGACATGGTCACAGCTTCCTCCAAAAAGTCCGACGTTTCCCCTCCCAAACAGGCTCCTTTGGGATCTCAAAGCCTATTCACCTATTCTCAACACATTGCGTAATGATGTTTGTCTCACGTGACTTGAGTATATAATGAATGTTCTCACGTGAGGAAAAAATTAACACATTACTCAATTGAGCTACGTAGATGATTTCGCCACACTCCTGGCCGGCTCACGTCTCGTCGAGGCGGCTCGACTCGTCTCCGCTCGGCACCTGGGCACCTCTAAGTAGATCTGGAGGACCATCCTGGGAGAGGGAGCGTGGCGACGTCGATCTCTGGTGATCCCGGGGATCTGGAAAGCATCCCTGAATAGTGAGTATCAACCAAAAACAGGGGGATCCAAAAACTCCTTGTCAGAACTATGAAACCAACAAGCCGTTCTGTTTAATAGGACCAACACTGATTTACGATATGGACCACACTCACGCCCCAGCATGCGGCGGGAACAGTTCCTGACCGGCGGATTGAAGATAGTGCCTGCTGGGAACCCCAAAAACAACCAGTTCAAACGGTTTCAAAGTTTCACAGCTGTTAATGTCACCATGCGGCTTGTTGTGGAGCCTCAACATTTGCCAGCTCGAAATCTTCAAAGAGCCATCACTCCGTCACATCACATAAAGGCTCTTTAAAAAGAAAGAAACAGCTGGCACAAGCTATCTTCGTCCAATTTTCTGGATCAAATCTCAATCCCATCGACTCCAACAACCCTTCAGCCCAGGTACTTGCCGACACCACCACCCAAGTCCAGGAAGGCAGCCGGCTCGCCAGCGTGGGTCAAGCCCAGGAACTGGGATCGACGGTCTAGGGGGGGGAGCGAGCCGGCCGAAGCGACCGCCCAAGGGGACCTGAGAGTTGGGAGTTGGGAGTCACCTGTGAAACCACGTGAAACCGAATGACTTGGCTCGCAATGGAGAATGACCGTTTCTTTGGCTTCTTTGGGGAGTTCGTGTTCTGTGGTTTTCTGCAAGCGCCTGCACCAGCTGCCGCACTCCGTTGGAGGTCACCTGGCATCTTGGCGGAGTGGAACTGGAGCCTATTGGTGGGAGACCTTCCTTCAACAGAAAGGGGCGCCCCAAGCAAAAGATGTGAACAGCGGAGTGGGTGATGATGGGTGATGACTCAAAAAGTCCCAAATTTCATCAAGAGTTTTGAAGTTGCTCTCAGACCAAAATGCTGCCAAGAGGTGAAGGCCAAATTCCGCTCTCACGCACTCCTTGCCCTCACCCACAACGCCACCAGGCCACTGTCAGGCTGGTGAAGCGAAGCTCCTTGCCCCTCACGATGGCTCACAACTCACCGTGGCTCCGATCCCACTCCGATCGCCCACCCTCCGCCTCGCCGTAGGTGTGCGCTTGGAGGGTCTCATTGGGCCCCACAACGCGTGCCTGTGGGTGCCGCACGCGCAGCTTCGCCACGTTGCACCACCGCACCACCGCACCGGGGTGTGAGCAACTGGCGGTTCCGAACCAAAAGAAGTGCCCCTTCCGAAGAATCACCAAACGCGCACATGGTGCAAAAGAAAAAAACGATGTGTATCAAGGTATCCAAGAATGGTAAAGAGTTTTGTTGAAGCTATGGCAACAAGGAAACGACAATGGAAAAACTCCGCCGAACACCAGAGCCCCGGCCAGGCCATCCACCCATCCACGCAGACCATCGGTGCAGCGCTCGCTCGCTCCTGGGCGTCCTTCACGACCTGATCCTCCGCCAGGCCAATGCAATAGCCTTGGTGCGGTGCAGAGCGGTGCGACGGTCATGGCGCAGGGTTTCAGTGCAGGGCTTGGATGGTTGGTAGAGGTGCTCTGTCTTTAAAGGAGGTCTTTGGGTGGTGCCAACGCACGGGCCTGCCCTGCAGGTGGTGCTCGGTCTTTGATTGGTTCTTGCTTTTGGTTGATGTTGGGTGCAGCTGGGACTGCAGTGGGCTTTGAAGAGATGCGTCGGTGCCAGTGGCATTAAACATCGCCAACATCTTGGCCAGGCAGGGCAAGTGGATGAGGGCGCATGACAGGTTTCTCACGTCGCCTCGTAGGGATTGCTGCCCCGTGGATCCCGTGAACAGGCACCAACATCAAGTCAACATGAATGAAAGCAGGTGCACCCTGTCAAAGGTTCACTTGACTTGGTGCCCAAAGCCAGGTGGCCCCAGACAAAATATCTCTGCGGACCTCCTTGTGTCAGACAAAAGAGCAAAGACTCTTCATTGGTCTTCCTCACGAACGGCGTTTCCCCAGCTCGCGCCCAGGCACCGCTGTAGCGCCAATCCTCGGCGATGAGCGCCGAGGCTCGGCGAAGACTCGGTTAAGACGTCCGAGTCGTCCGATGGGGGGGGTGAAGACTCAGGATCTCTCACCAGGCAGTACAGTACAGTACAGCTGTATGTCGATGCACAGCTTTGTGAAAGCTGGTAGTGGAGGGGCTCATCTCTCATCTAGAACATCGACCTAACAACCATGGATGGCCATCCCCTCCCAGCTGGGGGTGCAGGCTCAGCGACTATCAGGATGGCAGACTCTCATGAGACTCTCATGTCTGTCAAAGACCCCAACACATTTGCTCAAACATTCTCCTGCATTCCAACCATCCACGTGGCTGCTTGGATGGATGGATTCTAGAATAGTAAAAACTCTTCTGAGCAAAAGCTGAATCCCATTCAAACCAATGAAGGGTTCAAGCCATTGAAGGATTGTGGGAAAAGAAACAAACAACCACGGAAAGCCGGCATCTAGCAAGCCTTCCTCCTCGTTTGCTGAGCTTTTACACAGTGAGAATGGAAACTGGTTTCAGCCACTGACTGTGCACTCACTTGCTCAAACAGTGTAACTTGTCGCAGTGAAGGCAAAGACAGAACAGCTGTTCACATGCAATTGTTCACGTTGCTCTCCTGCCGACCTGCTTAGACCCTGCCTTGGCACGTGCGTTCATGTCATGCAGTCTCCCATTGTTTTATGCCCTCTCCCCAGTCACCCTCCCCAGAAAGACCAGGGTGCCATTATCACCTGACCCCACCCAGAGCTTCTGCCGAAAGGCATAGGTCCGCTCCAGCAGGTTGTCCACCTGGAGCGGGCGCGGTCGGGTCCGACAGAAAAACCACAGAAAGGCCAAGGTGAATGGAATCTTCTTGATAAGTGCAAGGTGCTTTTTGTTTATGGCCTGTTTTCCAAGCCGGATGCACTGTTCTGAGGTTGAAAGCTGAACCACCAACAGGTAGGTTGGCGCTGAGAGTACCTGTATGGAGGCCTTGACTTTGGCACGGCGAAACGTCGCCTTCAGATCACGGCTCCGTGCCTCGCGCCAGAGCTGTTCCTCTAAGATGCTGCTGGGTGGCACCGACGCCCTGGCACCGACGGTCCGGATTCCGGAGCTTCCGGACCTTCCGACGGGTCTGGGAAGTCGAGCGTCAGACACACATGGAGGACGTCGGAGCTTTGCGGAGGAAGTCGGAGGTGTCCAGCTGTAGCGGACGCAACGCCGGGAGCCTCTCGATGCTTCGAGCCCTTCGATTTGAGCCCTGTCCAATGGTGTGTCCAAGGGTCTGAGTCTGAGAGTTACCACGAGTTGCGTTCACTCTTTACCAGTGGGGCGTTCCAGTCCGCCCTTCTCCCCCACCCCCACCCAGGGTTCGTGTCACAGTCATGTCCATTGGACCCTGCCCCCCCTGCAAAAGTGGATTCAATGGTTTCCCACTACAGCACCCTGTTTCCAAAGAACTGGCTCCAGTGGTTCCAGTTTCTCCCACATTCCAGTTCAGCTTGAATAGGCCCAAATGATCCCAAATGATTAACATTCTCACTTGTCTAAATGCCTCTTGCAGGACCGGGGCTTGGGGATATGTTCCAAGGATTCTGTTCAATGTTGCATAGACACAAGGAATCACCCCGCAAGGCCTTGTGTCAGGGCACAGCGCGCCATGTTCAGCTGCGCTCTGTTCGACGAGACCCACCAGCAGCCATGGCCAGGGCCATGGCATTGCTGGGTCGGTAGCTTCTGCTGTACTGTAGTGGGGATGTGAACGACTAGGAGTGTTCTTAACACTCAGCCGGTTCGGATCGGATGAAGAGAATGTGAAGCAACGTGTTAGGAATCCAAAAAACATTGATGAAAAGCTAGGTTCAACAGGTTGGGGTAGGCGTTCAATTTCTGCAGTTCCAACTACATTAATCGAGCCTTAGTGAAGTTCTATATATTGCAAATCCGCAGAAACCTCAACGCTCAGGTTAACAGGGGATCTGAAATGGGGTGCTGCACTAAAAAGAGGCATTGGGGCCTAATGTTTTCAAACGAAGACGGAGACTCGACCATGTATCTCAAAGAGATACTGAGCTTTCCCCTTGTCCATGCCCTCTGACCGCCTTTGACTGCCCATCACTGTTCGTTCAGGTGATGAATGATGCTGGTCTTTTCACCTCTTGGTCCAAGTGCCCCAGTATCATCAGCTGTGGTGGCGCCAAGCTCAAACGCTGCTGCGAGACAACACACGTTGTGATCCGGCTGTGGCCGCTGTGGCTCACGGCATGGAGTTCTCCAACCGGTCCAAGCCCACGATCATCAGGAGAAGAGTGATTTTGCTTCCAAAATTCTCAGGAAATTACAGTAAATCAAATAACAAGGAATCACCTTTGACCAAGACCCCCACTTCTAGCTCCTCCCAGAATTCTCTGAGACGACATTGATGACCTCCCACACTATTCCACTGAGCTCCCAAACAGCTAAGGAGGCCTCTGCCGGCACGTTCCCCACCGCCTGACGAACCGGCCGGGCCAGAGTCCGCGCCATTGGTCCGGGCACCGAACGGCGCCAAACGGATTGGTACAAAAGCCAAGTCATTCGACCATTCGACCATCACTCCTGCTCAAAATTCTGCTCACTTGGTAGGAAGCTTTGCCCGAAACAATCCGCGGAGTATGGAAGGTTCTGATTGAAATATCGAAATATCTTGGGCTTCGCGGCTTCTGGCATCAAACGAAACGGATCTTCGGATCTTCAACAAACGGGCAAAAGGGAGTCGCGGTGACCCAGTCTAGGACATCTCAGAAGGCCCAGTCTGACAAGTCCTTCAGTGAGGGAGTTCTTCCCAGTTGGATATGGTTCCGGCATTGGTCACCGAATCAGTCAACTGGTCAGACGGTCTGGGCCATATCTGAACCATTCAAATGAAAATCTCCACTTTTGCATCCCACTCCCTGGAAGTGGAATATATATATATATATAGACCCCTTGAAGACCAGTGTCCTCTACAAAACAGGTGGTGCGCACGAACCGGCGCATCGACACGTTCCCGTTTCGCGCCGTAGAGCTCAAAGCAGATCGCGACATGAGTTGTTGAAACGTAGGATGGCGGTCGATTTGTGTCAACATTGTGTCAACTGGTGCCTGAAAAAGAAAGACCCGACCCAATCCCTTGTTTTCAAGGATGGAAGATGGATGCCGATCTGCCATCAAACGCCAGAGGTCCCACCAGCAAGACTGGACGAAACTTGCCCTTCCGCCTGTGGCAAGAGCTGTCCCAACTCCGCTGCCTCGGAGGTCAGAGGAAACTGCCCAGAGTGGGATGAGATCCAAATGAACCAGCTCAGCCTCCACATCCCCGTACCATCCCCGTACCCGAGTGTTTTGGGACCGGGTTTCCCTGAGAAGGGCGGGTTTCCTCCAGTGCTGATCTTCGTCCGATCCCAGATGAACCGAGCGTTCGCTTGCACACCTGGACGTTCCTTCGGGTTCCTGGATGCTCAGAGCGTGACCGAGCAGAGCAACATTCCAACGATGGAAAGTTGCGTCGGACTGTGTCGGAACCATCACAAAAACCAACCCCTTAACATGGGGATACTTCGACCAAAAAACACGATATATACAGGCAACACGACAAGGCCTCAATCCTTCAAAAGCCACATGTCCATCATTGCCCTCGTTGTACTTTTCCGTCGCAAAGTGCGAAGCGTTCCATGATGAGATCCATCAACGCTTCGCACGACTCGGGCACCGAGTTCGGAACGGAGGGACCGAGTTCGCTCCGCCCCGTTCCCGCAAGTAGGGGGAGGCGACATGTCTCTGAAGCGATGTCTCCACCCAAGGCGCCATGGCAATCACGTGCCGGTCCATCCACCTGGAATGGTGCCGCTCGACCGCACGAGAAGGCCGATGGGCCGATCGGTGAAAGGCGTGGGGTTTTTCTTCGGACACCGAAACTCACCTGGCCCAGAAACCGAGCCGATCCCATCGATCGAACGGCGGCGAAGGTGGAGGACCAGCCACCGGCCAGGCCGGTGGACAGCGTCCATAGCTGGTTGGAGAGTAGAGGTTCTTCTTCGTGTCTTGCACGCAAATGCCATGTTCCCAACTGGTTCTTCTCCATGATCTGCTGCAGCTCGTCATCGCGTGTTTGTCACGTCGTGCATGGCTGTGGTGCATCACTTTCGGATGCACTGGGTACTCGAACCGTTCTCAAAGGAGCACCGGTCGGTCCCGCCATTTTCCAACCTCCAAACCGAACCGAAGGCTTGTACCATGAATGCCCAAGTTCGGGGATCGATTTCCCTCTCAAAATAAATAATAGCAGGTATCTTGACACCCAAATCCCATCTAAGACTACTAAGACTAGTAACTAGTAGATTCTTGACACTTCCCTTTCTTAAGCTATAGTAATTCTTTTGACCCCCCAACCAAAGGATCTGAGAACCAGCAATAGTGCCACGCACCGCGCGTTTGGCGTTACGCGTCTGTGGGGACGCCACCCACCTGCGCGCCACCGGCAGCATGCTTTCCGCATGCCTTCCCAGGAATCGAGCACTGGATCGCCCAAGTGGGAGGAGTCTGTGAATGGGTGTGCATTTTAAGAGGGAGACACTCCAAAGGGTTTTGGATGGTTTGGGATAGTTGTGGTCAGGGTTTTGGATGGTTTGGTCAGGGTTTTTGGGTGGTTTTGGATGGCTTTGGTCAGTGGTTATAGTGGAAAACTGTGTCTTCGCGCAAAAGAGGAAATACCCGAAATCTCCAGAGCGTCAGACCGTCGGACGTTTGGAAAGATGGTATCTTCGGTGTAGAGCTTTGAGAGATTCTACGTGTGTTCGGCCGAGCCACGACATTCAATGGAACGAATCATACCAAGATAATAAAACAGCATGTACAGCCTATGGCACCCCGAAACACAACCGTATCCGACAGTGCTAGCTTCTGAAGGGATAGCATTCTACACCTCTGAAGAAATACATAAAACCTGGCAACACACCCCTCCCACAAAAAATGACATGTGTCCTCTACAAACGACACTGGCATCAGCCGGTGGCCACCTTGCAGAAGTGGATCCTCCCAAGATAATTCGAAAAAGCAGGCCAGGGGCATCAATGGGGCATTGGTCATCAGAAACAAAGTCAAACAAATTGTATATCCAACTTTGATGTGGTTGATTCATGTTGGCGTCATGTTGATTCATGTCGATTCATGGTCAGCCTATATACTTCCAACGTTTCTCTTTCGAGCCACCGCATTTCACGGCTGAAACCATCGGAACTCCTTTCCCCCCCGATTCCGAGACCTTCGTGACGACTGGTGTGCATGCTTGTGCTTTTGTTCCTTCACTGATTCCATGATGCAGCGGATCGCCATCCTTCCAACAGGGCAGCAAGTTCATGATGTTCATGGTGTATGGCCAAATCCACAGGGTCCGTGCCACCAACGCCGGTGGCCCCAGGCCTGCCAGGCCCCAGAATGTCTGCATCTGCCTCAAGCAAGCTTCGCACCACCTCAATGTGGCCACGTTGGATTGCCCAGCGCAAAGCTGTTGCACCATCTTCATCCACAGCATTCTTTTCGGCGCGAGCCGCAAGTAGACTTTGCACCGCTTCCAAGTGGCCACCGAGGGCTGCCAAGTGCAAAGCTGTTGAGCCATGTTGATCCGCGGCATTCTTTTCAGCTCCAGCATCGAGTAGACTTTGCACCAGTTCCACGTGGCCAGTGAGAGCTGCCAAGTGCAAAGATGTCGCTCCCAATTGCAAGGCAGCATTCTTTTCAGCACCCGCCTCTAGCAGACTTCGCACCACTGCGGAGTGGCCATTCCCAACTGCCATGTGTAAAGCTGTTGTGGCACCTGATGCAGCAGCATTCTTCTCTGCGCCAGCTTCAATCAGCAGTTGAACCACTTCCAAGTGGCCAATCCAAGCTGCCATGTGCAAAGCTGTTGCCCCACTTGATGTGGCAGCATTCTTTTCTGCACCAGCTTCAATCAGCATTTGGACCACTTCCAAGTGGCCATTCTCAGCTGCCCAGTGCAAAGCTGTTGTGCCATTTGTTGCCACAGCGTTCTTTTCACTGCCCGCCTCTAGCAGACTTTGCACCACTTCCAAGTGGCCATTCCCAGCTGCCATATGCAAAGCTGTTGCCCCGTCTGGTGCCACTGCAGTCGTTTCTGCACCAGCTTCTATCAACATTTGGACCACCTTCAAGTGCCCGTTTTCGGCGGCTGCATGCATCGGTATACTGCTGCCCTGTGTAGTATCTATCACGTTCGGATCTTGAGGGGACTGGAGCATCTCTTCCACTTGGGTCAAGCGGTTCTCCCGACAAGCTGAAATGAATGCTTCATTGGCTGCATCGGAAGAATGTAAATCCAAGACAAGGAGCTGCAAGCTCATAGGGATCATCATCTCTGCATCTGCTGTCAAGACTGTCAAGGGATCCTGATCATTCAACTCGCCCATCTGCATTTCAATTAGTCTCAGTTGAAACCTTGAACACCCGATTTGAGCTGCCAGGAGTTGCTTGAGTGCCCTCACAGGCTTCTCGCTCTGCAAGATCGGCCCAAACTCCTACAAGATCGCAGGACTGGTGTTTCAGGCGTTTGGGCCGATCAAAACAGCTTGGTCAAAACCAGGAGACGAGACCACACGACTTGCGCAACACACTGAAAAAAATCCCCTCCCCATACCCTTGGCACTAGGGAGCAGTGCCGGGTGTCAAGGTGATGAACAAAAACCAAAGGCACGATGTTTGCAATATTGCTACGTAAGCGAAACCGAAAGCGAGTGCCGGTGACGTCAAAGCGCGGGGTGGTCAAACCCGTGACACGTCCGGTTTCCCCCGGCCAGGCATCTAATTTACAAGACAGACAAGACAGAGTCTATTGGCCATGAATTGTGCAGGTGCGAAGTATCTATCGCAAAAAATGGATCATGAATCTGTGCGTACGCAGTATACGGCTTTTTATTCCGTTTTTGCATCCCAAACCTTCCACTGGAGCTTATGTCTGTTGGAACGCGATTTTTGGTTGTTGTGGAATGGGAGCATTGGTGCTTTCGAGATTGGAAAGTCGGAATGAAATGGTGGGTTTTGATTTGACTCAATCTGGTATTGGAGTGCCCTTGTCGTCGAAATGGCATGCCTCCACAGATTTGTCGGAATCCTAACCTCTCCAAGCCTTTTGCGTTTTGTTGCTTGAATTTTGGTTTAAGAGAGATTCCTGCAAATGCTTCGTTTTGTGCCTAGCTAACTATGTCAGGAATAATTCTGCTGGTCCTTTCATCCGGAGCGTTTGTTGCTTTGTTTGTACTTCCAATGTTTTTACATCATAGAGCAGCTTGCTTGCGACGGCACTCAATGTCTTTGATGGTTTGGTCGAATTCGGCATGGTCTTGGTTCCTGCATTGGACTGCTACTCTATCAGCTGATGCATTACCCTTAATACTTCAGAGAACCTGCTAGGATCGTGCCTCTTGCAGCCAAGAGATGCATATCCTTTTGTGCTTCGTATGTTTGATGGTACACCAGCTAGACCGACCGGTTGACCTATACGGAGTCAGATCCTTCGCGGCCTATACCGGAGCCACCCGTGGACGTCGCACGATCGATGGACCTCCGCCCTGACCCACTGAGGCACGGAGGAGGTGGTCAATTGCAGAAGCGAAGATAGTTCGATTCTGGATGATGAATTCAATGATTGACCTAATGTAGACTCTTGATGAATCAACCGCCCCCTGTGAAGAGGTTCTTCAATCCAAATGGGATGAGTCTACGATGGCATGCTCCTCCTCTCGAAGTTCAGCAACCTTTGCTCCAGTCACCGCCGACAAAATCTGCAACATGACATGAGATCTTGCCCCAGCACGCGCAAGATAAGGCACCGCTTTGGGTGCCCAGCGGTAGATCCAACGAGCCAGCTCAGGAGACACATGTGTAGAGTAGATCATATATAATAATCATACTAATTGATCCACTGCACCACCCCGAATGCATCGTGGTCATGTCCTTCCCCAAATCCACCTCCCATGCATCACCCCGAATGCATCACGGTGGAGATCCCGTTAGAAGCTCCGCCTCTCCAGTAGCAACAGCGCACTGTAAGACTCCGTCTTGAGAGCCTCGAGGTCGAGTGAGCATGTGGGACCCACCCGGCTGCTGCTGGACCCACCCGGCGGAGGACCGAGGGTCGAGCGAGCTCCTTCGCTTCGCTTCGGGGTCTCCAGGGTCCGATCCGCGAACTTCCTCGGGTGAACTGGTCGGGCGTCTTCCTTTGGGTTCCAATGTGGGAGATCGATTGGCCAAATGATATGGCTGGGGGTCAAAAGCAGGAGACCTTCGTTGACCTACCGACGCCACAGGTCAAGCTCTATGGTGGACTGGTCGGGCTCCACTGACCCCAGCTTCTGGAAGGCTCTGGAGGCGTGAAACCCACAGCTTTGATGAGTCCTCTTTTTCGGAACATGTTCTCTTATGACTTCTTCTGGGCCCAAGAAAGGCCCACACGGGCCGGGGGGTCAAGCTGGACGCAAGGTGAACATGGCTCCATCCTGTTGGTTGACTTCTGCATGAACAGTGCTTTGACCCACAGCTATTGACCTCTCTGCTTTGTCCATGATGGTCCTATTGGTGCGTTTGCTTCAGGCCAGGCTGCAAGCGTCTCGAGAATCTGCTGGATTGGATGCGCGCACTTGCGAGTCTGACGCAACCACAAAACTGTCCCTTGTTCTCAGGTGGAAAGGGTACAGGTGGATTGGATGATCCAACAGCACAACAACACTCCCCCTCCCCCCAGTTCCAAGCGGCTCCAAGTACATGTCTCATGGTCGGATGCCAATGCAAAAGTCTTCAACAGCGAACTGGACGCTTAACTCCATGCCTGGCCCCCTCGCGCCCAGGTGGCCTCCTCCAACTCTGCGAGGCTCATGTGCCGGATGGGCGCTGAGGTCATGCGCTGGCGCGAACGCGAGCGCTGACAGTCACGGTAAAAATCGCTGCAAACCGCTGAATTTGGGGGGTCGTGACAGGCCTGGTTGGATGTGAACAGACTGGTGCTTTGGGCAGCTCTCCGTCCCCCACATCTCGGGGGTTTGGAATAAAGCTCAGCTCTTCGTGGAGTCCTGCTTTTCACCCACGGAAATCAATTCGCCCAGGCGTTTCTAAAGGTGTTATAACCGGAACGGCTTAGACGTGGAGGGAAGCAGGGGATTGGTTAGACAACCTGCAGGAGGGCGCGGCCTGGGATGTCCAGGGCTCTTTGAGAAACAGATGTCTTCTGTGCCCCAGCTTGGCCTTGCATTTCGCCTCCGATCTTGACCGCAAACCCATATGGTCTTTGTGCAGGTTCGACCGATCATCGGTGGGCGGATCCAGACCTTCATCTTATATTGTGAAGTCTTTCCACTGCAAGCATCCCCGTTCTTAGGGAAGTCCAAGTTCTCATGTTGGTGATTTGGAACCAGTACTTTGCCCCCATGGATGTCCACCGAAGAACCTGCAGTGTTGCGCTTTCTCATGGTCTTTTGAATGCCAGCACGCCCCAATCAACATGCACCCACATGCTCCCTTCACATCCTCTAAGGTGTGCAACTCTGTGCCAGGCACACCCTGGCATAGCGCAAAAAGCCTTCGATGCTCCGATGTCCCCTGCCAGGTGGCCACAGGGCTCAAGAAACGAGTTCCCCCACATCATGAACATGACTCAATCGAGGCTTTTCACAGAGAGCGAGCAAATGACGTAAATTTTGATTTTTTGTTTTTTCAGTCACTCTGACAGCCACTTGCAGCCACTTGCTCAGGTTGCCACTTGGCAGCCACTTGTCACTCAAGCAAGTAAACTTCAACACTGTACTTTGAGCTCTTTATGTAAAAACTGTAATTGTTTGACAAGTGTGGGACAGCACTCACGGCATGAAAGCTCGCAAAGAAGCAGGAAGAAAGTTCAACGCTGTAAGATTTCTTCGTCGCTAGCTCTGCAGAAGTTTGGAATCTATTTTCGGAAAAGTCTTGGATTAGTTCATGATTTCTCCGCGCGCAGCTCGGGAGAAAACAGGAATGTCTTCGCAAAACAGCATTGCAGAAATCGTGTTTTTCTTCAGAACTGCGTGCGGAGAAATCATGATATTCTCCGGACAGAAGTAGCAGTCACTTGCAGCCACTTGCAGGCAAGTGGCTGCAAAATGGAAAATCAAAATGCGCACCTCCTGCGAGCTCAATGACTTTTCAGCAATTTTTGTACCTTGCTGCAGTCGTAGAAAAGCTGCGTTGGGTTTGAGTGACCTGTTCTAAAGTTGTTCGGATTTCGGCAGCTCTTCACTGCTAAGGATGCTAAGAGGATTCACTCCTCGATCCCCACCGATCCATCTCCCGATCCAACCCGATTCAGCTCCGCCTGAAGTTTTGCGGCGGCCGCTCCTCCTGAAGAAAAAGGTGGCACCCGCAAGCGACACACTGCGACAAGCTAAAGGAAGAGGACCTAGCTGTAAAAAACCTTTGATGGCAATGTTTGTTGAATGAGCGACAGTAGATTGAAGACAAATCGTTTGGATCAAAGCATTCTAGCCTAGCTTTCAAGGAGTGATGAACAAAGGTAGAAAGAGGAAATTGTATTAGTACGAACAGGTACAGATTGACAGGAAAAAGAAGGTTCTCAAAAATGAAGAATCCAATACATTTGCAATAAACCGTGTCTATTTCAATGTGCGCACATGTCCAAGGCTACTTTTCCTGAGTGATTGAACAGTCGAGCTGTTGGATCCGGTGACCATAAGACCAACAATTGGCACACACCTGGTGGGAAACGATGCAAACCCATGCCAGCATTGCAAGAATTCCCAGATAGGGATGGCAACTCACGAATTACCAAACCACCAACTTAGAACATTCCCTTGAGAAATGTCCCTGCCTCACCAAGCAACCAACCAAAATGCACCACGAGTTCGTCCGTTTCGGCGACCCTGGTTCGAATTCCTGAAGCGCAACGCGTTCATGGCCCATGTCTGAATCGATCGTCCAATCGTTCAATCGCCGGATTTTTCGATGTCATGATGCCAAATGTCCAACTCAAGTCATTGATGGTCCAACTCATCTCCCAAAATCTTGCATCATCAAGTCATTGGTCATCTACCCCGTTCACCCGTTGGTCGAGGTGACGGAACAAGTCCGCATGACAGCCGGCTCTCGAGCGAGCCACCCCACCCTGCCGCCTCCCTGTCCGGAAAACCAATGCCTCTGGAAAGAAGAACTTGATGGTCGGATAGCCCTGCACCTCAAACTTCTGGCAGAGTGCCTGGCGGCAGAGTGGCGAGTTCTTCATTTGATCAGCTGTAGACTCCAGACATATCGGTGAAACTGGATCGACGTAAGCAAAGGCAGAACCAATGCACGGGCCAATGATCAAGAGGGATCATAAAAATTGGTCTGACGTTAAAAATATGGGTCTTCCCATGCAAATACCACGGTATCGGTATTTAATGATGAAACATGTAAACATTGCCTATCTCATCAACAAACATGGCAAAGCATGGGTCTTTTAATAGAACAAACGAATCAGATTTGATCAGTTTCCCACAGTGATCATTCTTATCCGATGCAGCACCGCAGGATTTTCCCGGTCTTCTGGGCCTTGGGAATCAGAGGATCACTGAGGGCAAAGAGCCACCTACTCTGACCACAAACTCTAAGTCACTTATAACTTATAACTTCACCACCGCAATCTGCCTTTCCACCCATCCCAAAGATACCCCTTCTTTTCCCGCGCATCTGTGTCCAGCACTACCGCCATGCTGCACTCGCATGTGAACCACTAAGGTCACTCAAGCACCACACCAAAACGACAAGCATCGCAGCACCTCAGCGCGAAGGAACTCGGAACTCGCCTGGCCTTCTTTTTGGACTCGGTGGGGTGTCATTGCTGCCCTTGCAAGATCGGCATTTCCTGACAAAATATGGTGGAACCCTGGTCTAAGACCTTCTGTCAAGTCCAGGTAGGAAATCCCAGTAGACCCTAGACCCCAAGTCTGTTGTGGCTCAGGCGATCCGCAGCGTTCACGCACGCGACCGGGCACCTTTTTCGACGCAGATCGGACCTCACTCCCAGTCCTCATCGTCCTCCTGCCGGCAAAACGCGCGCCCACGCGTCTGCTTGCACGAGCGCTTGTTGCGCGAGGCTTCGTTTGGCGCCCGAAGACCCCGGTGAGTCGGTCGAGCGCAAAACGAGCTCATTCGCTCTGCAGAAGGCTTCTACTCCAAGATACTCCCAAGACCGTGAACGGGTAGACCACTCGTGTGAGTCGAAAGGGTAGACGGAGTTCGCAATGGCCCCACAGCCCCACCGGCCTCCTCAGGCTCCTTCTGCATGGTCTCTCGCAGCTTCTTGAACTTCTCACTGCCGGTGAGCACATCCATGAGATTCTCAGGCCTGTCCAGTAGCGCGGAGCTGAGTTTCACGCCAGGAAACAACTCAGCCGCCAATCGCCTTGCACACAGATATACGCGCTTCCAAGTCAGTAGGCGTGCAAGACTATGTCAAACGTGCTCTTCATAGAAAGTATGTAGATGAACCGGTCTTCAAGAGATATTCCTTCACTTCAACTGGGTAGCTCTATATATATATATACATTATATATATATATATACATTATATGTACCCTTTCAGGAAATTCCTGTTCTTCGGGTCTCCCAGGAGTCTGGCCACGGTCTTTGTACCTCGGCCATGGCGTTTTCCATCGAACGGCCCCGCGCTCTTCGTCTCGGCGCCTCTCTTCCTTCACCTCGGACGTCCGCTCCTTGGGCGGGCTCAGTTGCACCCCTGCCTGGCCGGCGCGAGCCGAGCAGCGCCACTCGCACCACACCCAAGAAAACACGTGCAAAAAGATCCCGTTTTTCAGAAACGAAGCGCAGGGCTTCGGCTTCCAAATCCACAAGTGTCCCATCTTTTGAAGATGCGATGTCGTGGTCAAATCTACGCAAGGCCACCGGCCCTTAAGATCCTGAAAAGCGCGCCTTAATCTCACCCAGGAGCTTGTCCCGCTTGGTCCGCGTGTCTGGCTTTGGCTTCCTGATTGTATTCGTCGCAATGCAAACCAACGAAGTTCGCCGAGCTGGACCAGGTCGAGGGTTTTGCCAGGGGTTTCCCAAAACGAGGAGTGAAAAGCCAGGACGAATCTGAGTTGGCAGCTCATGTCCACCAATGCCAGGCTCTTGGAAACAGAGGAACTGGAGCCGTGCAGGTAGGTTCTGAGGCTTTCCTGCGTGTAGAACAGAAACATCGTAGACCAATGGCATCCAATGGCGTGCACAGTTTCCCCCAAAATAAAATAAATCCTCCTTGTTACTAGTAGCGATGGCCTCCCAAAAATAATCCTCACTTTCGTCACGTCCTTCCCAATTTGAGCCGGCGCCCCAAAGCACCCAAGTCCCTCTTCGGCCGCGTGACAGCTGCCGCTCCTTGGCAGGTTTCAGCTGAACTGCCTTCAGCTGACGACGGGTTCGGTCGGGTTCGGTCGGAATCAGGGGGCCCGAGACGCGTGGCTTTGCGGAGCGGGAGCGTCTCGAAGCGGTTCTTGAAACGAAGAAGGTTGGATATAGAAAAGGCAAATTAACAGGGGCGCATCAAAACTTTTACAACAAGATTCATACTTAAAAAAGCCCCCGCCCAAAAAAAAGAACCGCCTTCAGGGCAGCTGATAGAGGTGAGGAGGACTTCTTCGTGGTCTTGGTGGTCTTCTTCAGCGGCTTCCCAGCCTCTGCCCAGCAGAAGAGTTGAAGGGCACTCCAACCCCGGAGTCAACGAGTTTGCTTAGAATCTGTCACTTACTTCCTTTACATGAGCTGGCTAGCCACAATGTTCGATAATTCTTACAGTAGTTCTCCTTTCCTCCCAACCACTTGTTGCGTTCGGGTCAACCCACACGTCCCCCTTCAGCGCGGACGCGCCCGGGCCTGTGCGCGGATGCCGGCCAAGAGGTTGGCCGGCGCCGCGCGCCGCGCCGGTTTCTTCGGGGTGGGCTCTTGAGGCTCTTCAGGTTCGCTGGGCTCTTGCGGCTCCGGAGGCTCTTGAGGCTCCGTAGCCTGGAGAAAGGCGACTACAAAAGCCACGCAGACCCCAGCCACGCAGACTACAAAAGTGCCAAGGCTTGCTTCGACGGTCCCACAACAACCTTTCAAAAGCGAATCCAACAGCTTCCAAGTGCACACGGCTCTCACGCACTTGGAGACACAGGCCATCAGAACTTTGCAGCATGTAACCGATCACGGATGGTTGACCGGTCCCCCGGTTCCCATGCGTTCCCATCTCTTTGGGTGGGATGCTCATCCCTGGCCTTGAGCATGGTTCCCTGGCGGATCGATTCCAAGAGCTTCGAACGACCTGGTGAGACTGCTGGATGCAGCTGAAGAGAGCTTGGGATTGACAAGCTTGGGGGATTCTCGTGTCTTTTCTCAGCTGGGCTGCAGAACGAAACAAACACATACAATAAAGCTCGAAAAAGGTGTCATTCCTCTGAGCAGCCCTTCAATTGCATACCCCCCCCCCCCCCCGCCTGACTGGTGCTCCTCCGGCTCCTTCGGCTCCTTTGGCTCCGTGAGCTCTTCCGACTCCTGGGACTCGCCCGTCCCCTCCTCGCCTGCGAGCGCAGGCGTCGCACTGGTGGACCCACCCGCCCAGACAAGGACACCACCCCAAGCCTCAAAGGCCAACTCCCTTAGGTCCGCTTCTTCCCCACAAGAAGGACAGCAACTCCGCATGAAGTCCAAGACCCCCCCTTTTCCGGCAACACACGCGGCCCGCGGTGGGAGCCTGTGGACTCTTGCTCCAAAGTTTGGAGATCCGGCTCCTCCGATCCGCCTGTCCAACGTATTCCACGCAGAATGAGTTGTTTTCGAAGACAGAGGTGAAGGATGTCATTCGAAGTTACGACGTTCCGTAGCGTTCTGCGCGATTTCGCATGATCTTGCAGGGTTCGCAAATCAACATCCACTTGATGTACTGCATAACAATAGAGGCAGCGGCATCGCCCCAAATCCGGGAAAACTAAAAGAAATTCAATCTTTCGAAGCAAATGACGACGATCGTGTTGAAAACGGCTCATGGTTTTCTGGAAGTGAGCCCGAATCCTGAAACATCATAGCAGAATCCTGGCTTGGCCGACAAAGGTTCTTGCAAAATAGCCTTGAAAGAAGATCGGGCTTTTGCACATATCTCTCTGGCCGTATCAAGGCCTTTTGTCAATGGCGCGCCTGCTGACTGCGGCTCTTCCTCCTGCTCCGGCTCCTGCTGAAGACCCTCACCAAAAAGCATCCCATCTTGAAATCAAACAGGAGATTAGCGAGGCCAGTGCGTTATGCAGTTGCAGGGAGTCCTGTCGGAGGCAGCCTTGGAGTCCGGCTCAAGAGATCAGGACGATCCGCGTCGGTCCGTGTCGGGCGTAGAAGAGACGTATGTGGTTTTTGGTTCTGTCCACTGTTAGAGTCTGGCAAAGTGACAAACAAACACCTATCAAGTCTGGGAAGTGCATGAAGCTTCACAGCTCCTTTTTACAAACCTTTTTGGGAAACACATGATTGGTGTTGTAGCTTCCTCCAAGAAAACCTTCAAAAGGCTGTGATGTCATCGACCCTCCGCGCCTCCGAAGGCACGGCCTCCGTCTCCACCTCCGTCTCAGCCTCGCAGGCCCGCGCGGGCGCCTGGCGCGCTTTCAAGCGCCACGGGGGTTGAGGAGGGATGCCACGCATCCACGAGAAGCGGATGCTTTTTGGCAAAAATGTAAGGCTCCACACCTTATTGGAGACCTCCTCCACGTTAGCGCCACAAGGTTTAAAGCAATGGAAGCTGTGTACACTGAAATAAACCTGACTCCATGTTCTTCAAAAGCTCTGATCTGGCACTTGAATCTCAGATTCCTCAGCACTCAGGGTTTGGGCTTTACGGCTTAGGGTCCAGATCCTATAAGCAACAGCATGCATGTTTGCTTTGAGTCGCCGTTGAAGGGCCACTGTTGACCCCGCCACTGTCGACACGCCGCATGCAGCCTCATGGTGAATGCCACTCTTGTACCAGGACGACTCCATCTGGACAGGGCGCAAATGGCAAATCAATTGGGGGCTGGGACACCCCCCAAAAACCTGGCCAATCCCAAGTTGCATGTTTTTTGCCACACCCAAAGAAGTCAAATGGAAGGGCACAAAAGGCCGTAGGACTCCGTAGGCCTGTCACCCGTCCCCGTGGCCGACGCTTGCTCACGCCTGAGCATTCTTCTTGCACTTGCCATTCTGCTGACTCTGGCAGCAGCACACCCAAAGCCCTTCGCCATTCCTCAGGTCGGTGTGCACTCCAAGGAGGACAGTTAGGACCATTCCCGTTTCAGGCAGGTTGGATGCCTACAAAAACAGGTCTGGGCAAGAACATCATCAACCACCTTCAAACCTCAATCACGGCTTCCACCCTAACCTTCAGCGTCAACGGCCGTCCAAACAACCAAAGAAACTGACCCGCCCCATCGTTATCCTATTCCCACTCTGCCCTGGGCCACGGCACTTCCTGGGAAAGCTCACCACCTTGGGCTTCACCTTGTCCAGCGACGACGCATCGATCTCCACCCCCAGTGTCTCCTCAACGCAGCCGCGACGGCACGGGCGCACGACGGCGCGCGATCCCTCAGAGGGCGAAGTCCAAGCAGCGATTGGCTCTGCGATTGGCTGAGCGATTGGCCGTGGCCGAGGGATCTGGTGGATTTGCTGGTTGCAGCGGGGCGCTCTGCCATCCAAAAGACTTCCTCCAACCTCTTGAGTCGGTATTTCATGGAGCAATGAAATTCAGGATGGCCCACAAAGAAGACTACACAGTGACGGACAGCAATGCTGGCATATATAGCTAGGTCACATGAGAATAAAGCCAGACTTAACTATATACACCAGCTTTCTTTCGCAGGGCGTTTCGATGAGTCATCACAAGCTACTCACTAACTCTCAATTCCACACCTCTCTATGTTTAGAGAAAAACTGCAGCAACTTCCTCGCCCTCTCCCCAGCAGCTCCTCCATTTTCGAGAGCATGTCTTTCAAAGCCTTGCACGCGGAAGACACCGCGAGGACTACTGAGACAAGGAGGGACAATGACTGTTATCGAATTGTTGTCCAACCACCCGGCAAACTGCGAAGGATGTCAAGTAGATCTGCCCACAAGACCTTGTCCCCCAACAGCCACACAGCCGCATGGCGCACACACCAAAACGGATCAAAACGGCGATTGGCGCGCCAACGGCATCAACGGCGTGTCCACCTATCGCGTCCAGCCTGGAGCTTCGGCTGGAAGAGCTCTTCCAGGCGCTTCTGGGCAGCACCCTGTGCCAACTGCCAGTTCAGCGCCTTGCCCTGAAGCATTCCGTTCGACGATGAGACTCGCAGTGGAGCAAGGGAACCAACAGTCCACCACTAGAGACTAAAACATCCAAAGCAAACTCCTCAGCAAATTTCATCAAATTTCGATTGTTCAACTGGAGCACAGCCAAGAATTCAGCTTGATTGGTGGCCAAATGTCTTACAACATCACAACCTTCGGGTCTAGAGCCTGCACGCCACACTGATACTTCTTTCGTTTCCTCCATAAACGTCATGTTCGCCGCGAAACCAAAGCCCGCCTTATCGCACTTGCAGTATCTCCCGTTCGTCCTCGACGCGTGCACGTACGGCCGCTGGCAGAACGGGTCCGCCGGCAGCGGGACGCCGTCCAGCGCCGACTTCGGCGCCAGCACGCCCACCTGCCACGCACAGTAGACGAGGGTGCTTTACCATGCATTCAACGACACTGGCATCGTCGGGTCTTATGTAGCTCTATCTGCTCTCTGACTTGGCAGCTAGCAGCTGGCACCAAGCCACTCCCAACCCGACCACCAACCCACACCTTGTTGTCACAGCCACAAGGTACGGTGCCCATCTCCACTTGCGCCATGCGACCACTGAGGCCAGGCTCCACAAGGCTGAGCACCAAGCCTTGGGAGAAAAACCCAACACCACAGGTCTCCAGCTGCCCCCGACCTCTGCAACTGGCCTAGCTGATCCTGCTGAGTACTGGAAACATGCAGCGCCGTGGGAAAAAATCATAACCATATACATTCCTAGACTATTTCGATCCTATCCTGTGAAGCGCGCTCCGCACTTTTTCTCAAGACCTGGTCGGGTCCGAAGCTTGTATGTCGTACAGACTATTTGCGCGATCGCTTCCCTACCAGCTGATTCCATGCCAGGTCACCCCTAACCAGGCATCATCTGGCAACTCCAGATATCACCCGCCCCCCCTGAACTCAGGGGGCACTGTCCAGTACTCTGGATCGGAATCAACTGCGCGTGGCTCACGCTGACCCCGGATGACTAGGCATCCTTCAAGATTGGGGAGTACCTCACAGAGGGTCGCCAATCAGGGTGGGTCAAATTGAAAACTTGGGAGGGCTCAAAAAGAAGAACCTGACACTTGAGCCAAAATGGTGTCAGGTTCTAATCACTCTGAGGAATGACCACTGTCCACCCTAGGCCTGCCAAACCTGAGACAGTAATACCAAATGGACTGAGGGTTCATCCCCAACAACGACTCACTCCATCCTCAACAATCTCTTCCCTCGAGTGATAGCGCCACACGCACGATGCCATATGTTGTTCTCTGCCCAGCGGCTCCACAGCAATGTGGACTTCATCGACGTCTAGTATCTAAGAGACAACGTATTCTCAGGGGTTACAACACCCTGGGTCTTGAGCCACGAGTTCACCAGCGCCAAGAGTTCAAGCAGTTTAACATGTGCTTGGCGGTATGCAATGGTAGCATTGACCATGCATGTCATCTCAACAACATATCACAAAAGCCTTCGATTCTGAAGTGGGATTCGGGCGCCAAACTACTCCATCCCTGGTGAACAAAATACCACCTGAAGTTGGAAAACCTGGACCAGAGCGCATCACCTGCACGGTGAGGAAGAAAGGATTTCACCTCACCCACCAAACCCTCCCCACCTAAGGTGCTTGGCCCTCCGATGATCCCAACATATGGCAAAAGGTCATGCATGGTCATGGCAAAAAAGAATTGACACTTTGTCGATTGAGATGAAAAAAGTCTTTGCAGCTCCTATCCCCCAAGCCCGGCACTGGCCACCCAGAGCGGTCGTTGACCGACCTTCGTGCTGGCGAGTTTGGCCCATCCGCACTACACCCGCTAGCCCTTCTCAGAATCCTGCTGGCTGCTCGAACCTCCCAATTATGGACATTTCGGGAGGGCTCCTAGACCTTCCGAAGTAGCTGAGTTACAAGTTCAAGTTGCAAAGGATCCTTTGAAATCCTTTGTCCTTGGAATCCCAAACACAATGCCCCCACCAGTTTACACGCCTCAGAAGTTGAGCTGTTTAAGAAACTAAGAATGGGGAAGTGTGGTTCCCAAGGATTCTCCAATGTCATTTCTGGAGCCTAGCAGCTAGCTGGACAAACTGGGCACTGTACTGAGAAAAAGACTTACATAAACAGTCGGACCGCAAAAGAAATATCTTCGTTCACCAACACCCTAGGCGGCCATTGGGAAGGTCCTGACTCACTTTCAAAGTTTCATGTTTGATGAACCTGGGCTGTTCTGAACGGGGTATTCTTCGTGCCATGTGTGTGTGTGTGTACACATATATTTATATTAAATAAAACTTTTTCTGTATGATTTATTATTTACGTGGAGAGAGAGAGAGAGAGAGATCAATGGGAGCTAACCCATTGTTGTCCTGACCCATTCTTTGCAGTAACCGCTCACCTTTTCGCCCGAAGTTGCGCCGGGAGTTTCTGCCCGCGACTTTGGTCCAGAGCTGTTCGCCCGAAGTCTTTTCAGGTTCACCTGGGACACATTCCGCGAGTGGGTAGACGACATGTGTCTGTGACAAGTCTGACAACCTAGGTCTAGGAAGTCTCACGCGCTGTGTTCGGGGAGCACCTTCAGCAATACCTTGGAACCTATGGAGCCATATGCCACGCGCGCAGAGGGATCAAAGCGCTTCCGCGACCTCCTGCTTGCACTCCATCTGATGCAGCTAGAAAGCTAATTATATACATTCTACATGGCTTGTTTGTCACATTAGGTCATCAAAGTCCCAACCACCCTGGTCTTCTGAAAAAAAACAACAACAAATCAAATAACGTCCCCTGACCAAGCTCCCCTCATGGCAGCCAGGTGGCAGAAATGCCATGCCGCCACCGGCCATCGGGCGTCGAAGCGATTCGCCCTCCGGACCTGCCAAATGGAAGGTCCGGGGATCCTGGGAGAGAAACCCCCTGCAACCTCCCCCAGAACAGCCCCTGAGCTTAGGAGGTGCCCCAAACTTCATGCGGAGCTGCCAAGGGCGAGAGTTGGCCCCAAACGAATGGCGCAGCGATCAGGTCAGGTGCAAGTGCCCAGTATGTAACCTCATCTTTCTCGTGAGAATATCAACAAGGAACATCCGCCCTACCAAAAATGCTTGAAACCGTGGCATTCTCCATGCCAGGTGCTTTGCCGGCGCTTGCAAGCTTCCACGCCTGCCATCTTCTTTGTGCGGTTCCGAAGGGCCTCAGCCAGCGAGGACCGACTGGACCCGACCCTACACACTAGACTTGTTTCCAGCCCTACAGGTCGTTCAGACCTGAAAACACCCTGAAAACCCCTGGGCTCCCAGCAAGGTGCTGTGCAAGATCAGCCAGTTCAGAAACCTCACAGCTCCCACTCCCCTCTGGCGTGAACATCCCGGTGAAGAATGGTGAAAGCAAAAATGTTAACATTCGACTTGAAAGAACTTGGAAGAAGCTTCTCGGGGAAGGCTCTGTGCGAAGCATGCGCATCCATCAGGTCTTGCGGCGCTAGATGTCCGCTGAGGTCCAGGTATTGGGTTCTCGCGTCCAATCCCAAGAGCCCCCTAAGCCTGGTGAGAACGCTACTTTCACAAAGTATACCCCAACAAGTCTCGGTCAATGATGTTCCTCTTGTGGATCTTTGGCGCCATTTGACATTCTCATTCTCAGCTCGGCAAAATCCTGAGGAACCCCCGGGTTCCACCCCACCCACCCAGAATCGGTGCGGCACCAAGTGGCGTTCCCGCTCGGGCCATTTCGCAAGTCCTCGAGGTCGTGGAGCCACTGGTGGCCTCAGCAACGAGGGTTCCGATGTGTGTGGGAGCAAGAGTTCTCAAAGAGCTGTTGGAATCTGGAATCAAACTGCAACTGGACCACTATATGACTTTTTGACAGGTTTTCTGAACACCTGCGGCACACAAAAATGATCAAAATCAACGTTGGTATCCTGGAGATCGGGTTGAAAAGTCACATTCTGGCAGCTCCAAACCACCATGCGCGCGGCGTGTGGTGGCACGAAGCGCTTCGTTGAAACCGGGCGTTGGCGATCGGGCGCTGTTTGGATAGCCAGTGGCACTGGGTCTGTCAGGCCATGGCCGTTAAGGCAGCGCAGCACGGGCCTGTATGGATTCGCATTTAACAAGGTGTGCTATCCTTGACCATCCGAAGACGGGCGCCCGGCCGAAGACGAGACCCTCGCGAGGCCGGTCACGCCAAGCGGCGCTCCTCTGCATCGTCGGCGTCGCCCCCGGGGAGGTCGTCGCCCGTGGCCTTGGCCTCGTAGACGAGGAGCGTCTGGTCCATGCCGCCCGAGACCTCGGAAGCGCGGCCACCGCGCGGCACAATGGTGGTCGACCAAGGCGGTTTGGGCGACCAAGGCGGCCAAGGCACCAAGAACTCGCCGTTCGGTGAGAAAGCCAAGGCCAGCGGGGTGTCCTTGTGCCGCCCCAAGCGTCGCAGCCGCCGGCCGGTGGAGACCTCGTAGACCACCACCTGTGGCTTCGACAGGCGCTTCGCCAGGCACTTCACCAGGTATCGGAGCGGAAACGAAATGATTCCTTTGAGATGGGTCGGTTTTTTGCGGGGTTGAACGGGTGAGGGAAAAACTTTAACATCTGAGCAAAAACAATGGCGACCGCCAACTCCAACCGTAAGGCATGGGGTGAGTCAGGAACTATATAACTGAGCCGCTGCTCAACACTTTTCTCAAGACAAGAAGCGAGCCATACCATCCTCAACAAAGGAACAAACATAAACGGAACAGTCTACCCACCAATTCTATCCACCACCCCATCTTTTTCCAACTCACCAATTCTTCCCACCCACGGCGCACCGAGGGCGACTGCCCCACTGCGCCGTGGCAGGCGGCCACGTGCCAACCCTCTGGCGCAAACGCGACGGACCACAGCAACTGCGGGTGCCGCGCCATGCGCCGCGGAGCCTGATGGAGTGGCTTCGCGAAAAACTCCGGATCATCACCGAAATTCTACCGCGGACATCAACAAGGTCACCAAGCTCGGGGCCCTAGCTTTGCTCTACTGCAGCATGGAATGTTTTTGTCAACCGGGCTCAGCCAAGGCACCAACTCCCTACAGCGCTGCGTGCGGCAGAGGGCCACCTGCTCCGGCGACATCTGCCACAGCCGGAACCTGGCGCCCCTTCACCGGGGGTGGCAAATGGCACGAGAATGGTGCTTCTCGTTTGAGATCATCATGGTTACGTGGATGGGAACATGGCCGCAAGAAGTCGGAGGAGCACGCCGTTCCACTTCCACGTGAATGACTTAGAGAGTATATAAACAGAACAACCCGAACAGCGAATTACATCCTGCTTGTACAAGAAAAGGAAATCAACACCTGGCTATGAATCAGCACCTGTCTGCCCCAAAGAACCAAGTCCACTCTCCACTCAGGCCCTTCATGATCCAAAAAATTCAGAGCGGCCTGCATCATCCTATGTCACCCCACTAGTACCCCACCACACCCTCCCTCAAATGGATGACCATCCACACCATTGGTTTTTGGGTCTTCGACACGATCCACTTCCTCCGCCGCATCTGCCGTCGCCTGCGGTCCCACCCGCCCGTGGCGAGGGTGTAGTTCTTCGGAGACCAATCCACCGACGTCACATGATCCTGGCGGTCGTCGTTTGAGCTCGTCACCGGGTGAACGGTCAGAAACGGCGAAACGAGACCCGATACCAATGACAAACCATGCCCAAGCAGGCCTGGCCTTCTTGCAGACATATCATGTGCCAGAGCCACCCTCTAGTTTCACCCATCCTGCAGTCTCCAACAACAACAACAACAACAACAACAACAACAAGCACCAAAAAAACAACGAACAAACAAAAACCACAAAGAAGAAGAAGAGGAGGAGGAGGAGGGAGGAGGAGGAGGAGCGGCCGGCCCCCAGCAGTGGCGCTCCTTGTGCATGAGCGTCCAAAGCTGTCGCCCAGTCTTCAAGTCCCAGACCCGCACCGTCCTGCGAGGCTCAAAGGAAAACATATTTAAAAAATTCAAATAAAACCTTTTGGAACATGCAAGCAATTCTCGAGAATTCCCATCTTCCTGGTGTCTGACTTGCATGGTTCTGGCTCCTGCTTTCTGCAGGACTTGTCCAACCAAAAAGGCCATTTCCATAGATTCTGTGCAAACCTCCAGCCCTGTAGCCTACGGCCGATGACGCTTGCGCACGGCGTGTGCTGGCACGAAGCGCTTCGTCGAAACCGGGCATTTGCCGTGTCGACCCGCCGCGCCTGTCCGCCGAGGCCGTCGCCACCAGCGTCGGATCCAGGGGGCTGTGAGAGACCTGGGCGGTGAGAGACTTGTGGGATGACTGACCGGTGCGACTTGTAGGGAAGGAAAGTTTCGAGTCACCCTCATTCCCAACTAAGCACCAGTCAGACAAAGGATCACTGCACCCCCCACTCAGCCACTCAGAAGACTTCTCAAATGACAAGACCATTTTATGCTATTTTCGTTGGTCGGCGGGGGGTGCAACCCAAACTTGCCAGGCATGTCCAATCACTGAGAAGAGCTTTAACAACATCTGTACAAGTACAAGGGTCCAAGGTTTTAGAAGTAGCATCATGAATCATCGTTGACCACGAGCACGTCACTTTATCATGCCGTGGCTTTATCCAAAGTGCCTGACAACTCTCCCATCTGCTCTCTACCCCAACCCTGCAAGCCAATGGTCCGCCACCCAGCCCCGAACCTCTTCAACCCCCCTCCACCGAGCTGCGTCGTAGAGCCCTCCCTGGTGCCCCGCGAGCTCCTGCACCAGACGTCCCTCCGCCAGATCGAAGACCCGCAGCCGCCCGTCCCAGCAAGCGCTCAAGAGCCGGTCGCCTGCCGCGAGACCGGCGCCGAACGAGACCCGGTCTGGACAGAGAGGGATGAGGGATGAGGAACAAAGCTTTTCGGCCAGGAAGAGAAACACGTCAGATTTGTGGGGGAGAGGTGACTTGGAGTGTGACTTGCCGCATCGCTCCGACGACCCGTTTGGAGGCGCCTGAGATTGATAGACCAAAGACCTGGGAGGTTGAAGATGGCATCGAAAAGCGTGGTTTCATGCGATTTCCAGAATTCTTCAAAGGGGTTGCAACACGACCTCGCCGCTTTCTTGCCACTACTCAACCTTTTTTGTCATCATCTGGACAAGCGGTGCCCAAAATGCGTAACTCAAAGCAAAACAGTCAGAACCTATAGTCCAATCAGAATCCAAATGGCTTAAAGAAGTACAAAAGTAGCAGGGTGCTTCTTGGAAGGTAAGGAATGCCTATTATATACCCACTCACTTGGCATCAATAATGGTTAGAGTACCCCTTTACAAAACTCCTTGGCACCAGGCACCAGCCAAAATAAATAACTTCCTCAACATGTGCAGAAGCACCTAACCACTTTCTTCCCTGCTGACCTGCCCTTCCTTCATATGTGCCCACAACTGTGGCCACAAGCAAAGAACTGAAACTTTCAGGCAGCAAGCAGGGAGAGGAGGGTTCTGTAGGACTTGCCAGGCTCCACATGACCCAACAAACCAGGCTCCTCCCGTTCTCGGTCTCGCCACCGTCTTGGGGTGCGGGAGCTCGCGCAGCAGTTCGCCCGTGGCCTGGAAAGGCACCAGCCCCGAACTGCCTGGTTTCCCCGAACTGCCTGGGGTCTCCAATGGTTATGCATAGTCGAGTTCCATTAGTTCAGTCCTCCTCTTCCATGTCCTTGCGCTCAGGAGATCTACTTTCGTCAACTGCTGTTGGCCAATGAAGTGGGCAATGGAAACTGCAAACGAAACAGCTACAACACGACGACAGTGATTAGTCACTACTACCAGTAGCAACGGGAAGCGCAGCAATGGTGGGAGTCGCACAGGGTTTGCCAGTCCAACAAAGACATTCGACAGTTTTTGCCTCACCCACTGCATTTGGGCCATCAGAACCACACAAAAGCTCTCACACCTCTCTCTCTTCTCTTCCCTCGCTCGGGCCCCACACCAGGCTCCAGAGCTGCGTCACGTTGTCCGCCCCACCGGACACCACGTGCCCCGGACCCAGCGCCAGCGCGGTGACGCCGGCGCGGTGCGCCGTCCACCTCGCGGAAGTCGGAGGCTGGTCGGCTGGTCATCCTGCCTTTTGGAGAGGAATTTTTGATAAAAATATATCGCGCTTTTGGTGCTATCATTTAAAATTTGCATACATCATCCTACATCTGTCCTCTGACAGTTGACCAGCCGAGCAAGGTCCAACGTCGCTCCCGCACTGGGCCGCCCCGGCTCCTTCAACGGCCTCACGAGCTGCGAGCTCTTCTGCGTTGGGGTTCTTTTGGTCCGGTGTGGCAGCAATTGAGTTCTGTTGTTGCGTCACTCCTATATTGCAAGGTTAAGTTCAAGGTTTTGCCACAAAGACTGGGTCCTCTGGGATGGGCTGACTGAACCAAGAGAACCTGGAGCGCCTCAAACAGAGATCCGTTCAAGAGTTTCACCACCCAAACTCCTTCTGAGATGGAGGCATCATGAGGCAACTATTGAATACTCTACTGAATATATTGCACAGCAGGCAGCCATGCCACCCTTTCTTTTCTGTTATTCCGGTGCACCCCCGGCCAGGTCACTGATTGACTACCAATCCTCCAAGCCCCGCTCGCGCCATGCTTCGCGGCGCAACGGCCTCCGCGGCGCCGCTTCGGCTGCCCTCAGCGCGGGGCGCGTGAGGTTCCAGGCGCGGATGGAGCCATCCTGCCGAAGGCACCGAAGACCGGCGCAGATATGGTGGAGAAGGACATATGGTGAGGCCCTGACCCAAGTGGAGCGAAGTCCTGGCGGTGTGTTGTTCATGATATGATCTTCATGATGTTCATGAGTTTTCGGGACCGATCTTGGAGCTTCCTGCGGCCAAATCTGCTGTCCATTCACTTGGAATGACCGTCTCCAACCAGCGCCGCACAACATACTTCCTTGACCTGAATCAGGAATCAAGCCCTATATGGCGGTAGGGATCACTTTACAACTGAAAAACCTGAGCGCTTCTAGAAAGCAAGAAGACGTCTCACCCAACAAGAAACGGATCCCATCATAGCAACCTTTCTCGTCAAAAGCACAAATCCGCAGCCCACGTTTCCAAAGGTCTTCAGCTCATCTACGATCCCCACGGGCCCGACCTTGGAACCGGAGGCCACCAAGAAGTCGGAGACGGCCAGTGCGTAGATTCCCGCCTTGTGGCCTCATCGAGCCGAACTAGCAAGTGCCAATTGGCATCACCGCAAAAAAGAAAAAAGAATGCAGCACCCAGCCATTTTCTGAGTATATAAGGACCAGCCTGTATTTTATGGGTTGATGTTGATCGAGAGTCAACATCATGAGCAAAAGCAACTTCATCTGAAAAAAACTTTCGGCTGATCTAGCTACGGTGCGCAAAGGTGTTTTCACGCTCGAAGGACACTCATGCTCGAAGGTGTTTTCACGAAGGACAGCGGCAGACATGAAGAAGTCCCAAGCCAAAAAACTCCTCTCCAACCATCTCCAACCTGGGTTTACCAAAGGGTGCTGAAAGCAAAGGAGGCTCCCATACTCCACTCACTCATCTAGGTCTCAGTACAACCTCATGCAGGCAGCGATCACTGTTGCGCCTTCAAACGAGCCCAGAAAACCTGGGGACGCTGAAGATGGGTCGCCCTCCTGCCGCTGCGAGAGATTCGATCAAATCAACTTGAAGGTTTGATCTGCCCATCCTCCTCTCACCACTCACTGGAAACTCTACACAGCTGCTCTTTTGGAACTCCACCATCTTCTTTGACCCAGCCCACAGGTCTGACCGGCGCTGTTGACCGGTGCCGTTCACAGCAACCACTCGACCCGGATCAAGACTTAGCAGAGTGGGCGCACCACCGCACCACTCGATCTTTCTGACGCACCAACGGTCTCACCGACGGTCTCA